CAAAGCCCCAAGAATTAACACTAGAATTTTTCCCTGGGTCTGCAGCTTCGAGGTTCAAATGAAAACACCTTTGGTGTCCCAGAATTATGACCATATCACTTGCTTGCCTGGGTCGAGTCATAATGACCTCTCATCAATTTGCCTGAGTGTATCCTCTACCAAGAATGTAGCACCCCCAAATGAATTCCCCACCAACACCTCTATTTGGGTCAATGTCACTTAAAGAACATGATGCTGATGCAATATGATGAAATAGGTATATTTCACACTGCTGCAGCTCCCAGAGGAAAAGATATTAAACAGGAAGTGCCATGGTGTTGTCCAACAGGGGATTCATTTTCTGCTAGGACTCTACAGTGAAACACTGTATAAAAGGTCTTTCATACCAGTGTGGAGTTCAAAACCTCGTATAGAGAGCAGGAGTCACTATTATGTGGTCAAAGAATGCTGCAAGCTGCACATGCAGACCCTAGCTCTAGTACTCCAAGAAAACTATCACACCCACAGGTATTTGTATAAGCCATGACCTGGAGCCTGGAGCAACCCAACCAACTCAGTTCAGATGGCTGGACTAAGTACCATAGGATACCATCCAGGAGAGGCAGCTGCAGCCTGATAAAACAGATGATGCCAACTCTAGGACATGGAGTCTCACCAGGTCCTGATCAAGAAGTGATGAGAGAGCACACATGATCTGCATGATTGTTGGGTGTTACTATACTGATCCAAGTAAGGAGGATATCTAAAATCAATTCAAATATGGGTTCAGTCATTCTCAAGACTAATTTTCTTCATAAAGTTCAGTTTAAAAGCCCTCCAAGCAATGATTTTGTGGATAACTGGGTCAAAATACTAATCCGAATGGGTCATAAATCTTTAAGACATCCATATCCGTATCGTAGTGATTTCTCTTTAATAAAAATGTCTTGAAAAAAAAATAATCAAGATGTGAACAAACATGTATACAGCAAGATATTTATTACATTATTATAAAGAAATATAAAGAAATTCTTGTAAGATTATCCCGTATTATACATACACAGCTTTGCCCTTCCCCTCTGATACATGAAAAGGGAAATCATGTGCAGCCAATGTTCTTAAGCAATGAATTGTGTCACCTTCCCTCCACAGGAAGACTCTTCTAAGGCACCTTCAACCCCTGCTGCAGAATTCCCCAGTAGTTGGTTCCAAAGCTATATGTTGTCCATTGTAAGAACTTTCTTCCTTCAAGCCAAAAATCTACTCCCTTGGACATTTGTAGTATGTTCTGAATGAAATTTCATACGAACCTACCATGTGATATGTTTAGAAAGCTTTACCAGAACACTCATTCCTCATTATAACCTGAGAAGAATTAATTGTAAGCCCACAAACCCATTACCTGCAATTTTAAGTTTAAAAGTCTCTGATGAAACCGGTTTATTACCTTTCACCCAAAATCATCTGACTTCAACTATTATGATCTTATTTAGTCTTTATCTCATTTACTATAAATATTCATACATTTAACTGAAGAAATGTTATGTGTTTGATCACAAGGCACTGCCCTGAATCCCACTGGGGTATTCCTTAATATGTTATATATACATATTATATATATGACATATATATATATAATTATATTCCCCTTTCTATAATTTGAAAACTTCTCAATTCCAAAATATATATGCCCCCAAAAGTTTCAAATAACGTACTAAGGACTTGTATGATTATCCCTGTAGATTGAGGGAAGTGAAGAGACTTGTTAGGGCTCTTTATCCCTCAGTCTTTGCTATTTTACACTTTGCTATATTGGCCAAGAGGTTTGTGCAGAGAACTCCATGTTCTCAGCATAAACAGCCCCTTTGGTTATTCCCTTTGTGCTCTCCACATCACCCTCAGAGATCCTGCAGATGATCTGTGCCTCTTTCTCAAGGAGACCCCAGAATGTGCCATACTGGAAGCAAATCATGTGGCAGATCATGGCCCAAAAAGCCCACCCCTTAGGCTCACCAGTTCTGTCCAGGACTCAGTTGTCATGTTTTCCTTCAATAACTTTCAGTCTCAGACTCTATGACCCAAAAGGAAAGACAGACTTCTTAATGTCAAAGTAGAGCAGTATGGAATTTAGGAAGCCTGGAAATCATGGCAGTCAGAAAGCAATAAAAAGAAAAGAGAAGGTATAGGATTCTCACTGAGGAGTTCATCATTACCCCACTGCCTCCCTGAGCCCATCTCTGTGAACAAAAATCCCAAAGGGTTCTCACCTAATGTGACTAAGAGTCCACTATCCCTGCATCTACCTCATTTACCCCATCTCATGTGGGGTTCCCTCAACCATCTACATGTGCATCTCCCCCTTTGTCTCTGTACCTCTGCATCTCTGCCTCCTTGCACTATCAGTTTTATCCCATTTCTAGGTCTTTGGTCCTTGTGTATGTCTCTCTTGTACTCTACTTTTGTCTGTCTTCCTCAAGCAGAATTCCTTTCTGGAGAGAACAGAGGTGCCAACTACACTGCACTAAGTAACTTGTCCTTGTGAACCAAAATGAAAAAACATGCCACTAAAAGGAGGAACTTGATTTCACCTGTCATGAGAAACTTGAGGTTTCTGATTTGGTCTGTGCTGGCTTCTCTCTCATCCTGCCCATTTCCTTTTCTCTAAGCCACTTTGTGCTTTCCATCTAGCATGCACCTCTCCCACCACACATTAAATTACACAGAAGGAGGGCCGGGGATATAGCTCGATGGTTTCGCTGCCTGCTGCGCAAGCGCAAGGACCCAAGTTCAATCCCCGGTACCAAAAAAAAAAAAAAAAATCTACTCTGCTAAATTACGCAGAAGGAAAACATTGATTTCTCCCTTTACCAAAAGGCACTACTGTTTAATGGTTAAAGGTGGAATCAAATAGACTTAGATTTGAATCCCAGTCTATTAACTCTCTGTATGGCGTGGGCTAATTATCTAACTTCTCTGAGCTTTTTCTTCATTTGTAAAATGGAATATAATAGAACCTACATCAAGAAGTTCCTAAAAGGATTAAAATAATGCATCCAGTATACGGCACAGACCCTAGCACAGAAGAGCTCAACAAATATTTGATATTAATTCTTCTCCTGAAAAACAGAACCAAGCACAAAGACCCTTGGCACTCATGTTTAGCACTGTCTGAGAAGAACTTGCCCTTCACAGAGGGCAGTTATATCTCCTTTAGGAAATTTTTCTTGACATCACTCTCTCCCACCCCTATAGAACTGCTTCTCTGTCTCCCCACACTCATACCATCTCCAGCACTCAAATGACAGCCAACTTTGTGGGATAGCACTACAGTCTAGACCAAGCCAGGGGAGGATATTCCCTACACACAAGTTCTTCCTGGGCACAAAGGAGGCTCTCTGAGGGCCTGAGAGAACTCTTTGGACAGATAAGGTATAGGTGGGAGAGGAACTCCTAGAAAGACTAAGTCAAAACTAAAAAAACACTAGGTTGAAATTTCTGGACAAAACACAGGGGATATAACCAATAGGAGCTGCAGTAAGGCAGAACATAGTAGACAAAAGTCAGCCTAGGATAGGGAATTGAGCATGAAGAAAGTTTTCCTCAATTTTACTTCAGTAATTCTGGTTTCCTGAAAATTCTCTTCAGTTACTAAGGCAACATTATCTCAATTAGATTCTTACCCTCCACACTGTCATTGCTCAGCATGGTACCCTCCTACACACACATCTGTTTTCCTCTGCACTTATAACCCACCCATTTCAACCTAGGCTATACATTAAAATTGCTTAAGAAGCTTTTAGAAGTTGTGATGTCCAGGCACACCCCAGAACAATGAAATTTCTGGAAGTAAGAGACAGACATCAGTAATTTTTAAAGCTCCCAAGTAATTTCCAGGTGCAGCCAAGGTTGAGAACCACTGCTGCATTCTCTGTATAAGTCCTGTTCTTGGGCTGAGGATTTAGCTCAGTGGTTCCGCTGCCTGCCTCACAAGCACAAGGACCCGAGTTCGATCCCTGGTACCAAAAGAAAAAAAAAGAAACTCAAGTCCTGTTCTGTACTTCCATGTCCTTTAGGACGCCAACTCAACCTCACAAAGAAGTTATCTGCAGCTAACTGGAGAGTAAATTGCTTCAGGAAGACTACTAGAAGAAGAAACCTAATCCTATTTCCCTAAGGAATATAAACCAAGAATTATACACACACACACACTGCCACCTAACAGATACCAGCATTTTCTTCCCCTAAAGCAGGTGACTCAAGATTATGAACTACATACAGGCTGTAATGAGGCTAGAAAAGTTACTGTCCTCACCCTACCCAAGACATCACCTAGCAGGACCTCTATGATCTCATGCTGCAGTAGGTCAGAGCCCAAGGCATAGGGCCTCACCTTCCAGGGCAGCCTACGGTTCCTCCAACAGCCACTGCTCTGTCCACTATGTTGGTTAGTACTCCCCAACTGCTAACACTGGATGAAGCTGATGCCACTTGGACCCTCATCAAAGAAAAGGTTGGTAAAGGAAGCGACAACGATGTGACCTGGATGGGTCTGAACAGCTTGTGAGTAGGTAGAGGTGGGAAATCTAAGACAATAGTAACTAACATTTACTCAGTACCTGTTTGTATGTTAGGCACTAAGGTAAAGTGCTGTATGCAAGCTACCCCACTTAATCACAACTGCAGTAAGAAAGGCTCCCTAAAGATCAACATATAGTGAGCTGTAAAACAAAGGAGAAGCCATAAATCAGGAATAAGACTTAAGAGGTCAGGAAGGCTTCCTGAAGAATAGTCTTACTATGGAAGGAATAGTTATACAAAAACAGACAGAAGTAGCTGGCACATAAAAAGAACATAATAAACACCTGAATAAATCAATGAGCAGATGGATGGGGGAGTGAACAGCATACTAACTAAAGGTAGAGCATATGAAAAACAAAGACAGGAAAGAAAAACATTTGTAGAAGACTGCCAATACTCTTCTAGAGCTAAATTCAAATGAGTAGTGGCAAAATGAGGCCAAAAAAGTACCGAGGAAGATCATGGAAAGCCCTTTAAACTTCCTGTAGATTCTGGACTTTACCTTCAACCTCTTTCACACATATTCCCTCCACCTTAATTCCCAAGAATGAGGAATTTGGATTGGAACCAAGCATAATTTCAAGAAGCACAGAGATCTTGCCCTTTTTGGGATTGCAGGTGTCTGACAAGTCCCATCAATTCACTTGTCAGATGCAGCCTAGATAGCTGCAAATTTCTCAGGTGGGAGACTTTATGGATCAGGTTATGGCTATGTTCACTTGAAGGCAAACATACTTGGAACATTCATAGAAAACAGCCCACTAAGCTTGCAGACTTAAAGCAGCCTTAATGACATACAGCACCCATTCTCTGATAAGCTGCTCACCACAAAGGCCAGGGAAGCTGAAAAAGGAGAACCGAAGTCTCACTGTGTATCTGAGTAACTGGTTTCAGCACTGCAGATGGTTCAACCCAAATTATACCAATCAGGATGAAAACAAATTTACTCTTCAAATATCAGAACACCATACCATCTCGGAGTATGAAAAAGCTCGCTGTACTATTTCAATAGAAAATTGAGGTAGAGATATGCAGGATAAGTTAAAATTAAATTGATATGTGGCAAATTCAAGGAGTAAGGAACCTTGAAACGATCCTGGTTTTCTATCACCAAAATTGTTGACAACTTATTGGGCACTTTATAAAACATTAGGCTAAACAGAATGTGACTAAAGAACTCCCCATTCAGAACTCAAGGTATGTGTAGGAAGATAATTCTCCACCATCACTTTCCTGGCCTATCCCTAGGAAACCTAGAACTTCTACTCAGAAAGAGAAGTTCAGTAGGAGCAAAAAGCTGTCTCAAATGGTGACTCTACCAAGAACACAGTCACTCTAGGAAAAGAACTAAGCAACAGAGCTTCTTCATTTTCCTACTTTAGATGACCACTGGGACTCTCAAGGGTAAGGAAGGACTTATAAGCCTCTATGGCAAATTAATACCTATGTGCTGGGGAGGAACCTATAGCTAAACTAAAGATTCACCCTTTCAGCAGAAACTTGGACAATAAGCACCAAGTATTTCAAACATCATTTCTGTTAGAGGGACCTCTCCTGAAGATGCTCCCATGTCATATGTTCAGAATCTAGAAACAAAAGAGCAATTAGGGTGGGATTCTGAGGTTACACTTAGTGGCTTTCATTGTCAAGGGGCAAAAATCATTCCACCCAAAAATGACAATACATCAGTGCTCTGCTCTCAACCCCGGAAACCCAACTGGCTCTTCTCAGAGCCCTATTCTTCACGTCCCCATCCAAAAAAAACTGATGTATGTCTTATTAAAGCAAAGAAGGAATGATGAGAAATTCTTCCATGCAGATCAAAGAGTGCCAGTTGTTTCTGTGGCCAGATGAACAAGACAGTAGCCTGCAAGCTACCTTGTTTGTCCCAGGTGCAGACTCAACTTCATCAGATAGCTATCCTCCTTTTAATACTAGGGATTAGCACTTCCAAAATAGCGCTATGTCGCCAAATGCAAATCAGTTTTAGGGGACCAATGACAGAGGAAGATAGGGGGTTGCCCTGACTCCCTAGAACAGAGGGCCATAAGTCTCAGCCAATGAAATGACCCAATCTCAGCCTTGAATGGGTTGAGATCATAATACCAGTACAATTACTAGAGGACCTTACAGGGTTCCCAGTTGTTCATGAAGTACTTTCTACAACTGTGTTTGTTACCAAGCGAGAAAAAAAAGAAGAAAATCCACATGACAAAAAAGACAAAACCCAAGGGAGCCGAAATCCCTACAAGCATTTTGGAAGTAACGTTACAAAGATGAGGCCTCAAATACCCTAAAAGAGAACTATGCCTTGTGGCTAAGGTAGAAAGTATATATTAGGAGGTAACTGACACAGCAAAGAACGGACATTAGAAACCTATCCCTGTCCACATATTCTCAGCTAACCAATCACCTAGGAATGATCCCCGAAGATTCCTTCTCCCACAACCCTTAGGTGACCAATTTCTACTAATTCTATCACATAAATCTTTCTAGAATCCTTCCTGCTCCCTCTTCCCCCATCTTCATTATTTCAGCTTTTACCTAACATGTTTTGCCTGGAGTATTACAATACTGTTAAATAATCAAATATCCTTATGTATGCTTTCCTATTAAAAATCAGCTTCCTAGGGGCCGGGGATTTAGCTCAGTGGTTTCACTGCCTGCTGCGCAAGCGCAAGGACCGAGTTCGATCCCTGGTACCAAAAAAATAAAAAATCAGCTTCCTAAAACACCTACCTGGGGTTGTCCCTACTACCCAGAACCCATAAAGTGGCTTCCAAGTGCCCCCAGGTAATATTCCAGTCACTTATAAAAGACATACAAGGCCTTTCATAATCTAGCTCTTGTATGCCTTTCCATCTTCATGTCTAACATCTAAGTAATATGAAATTATTTATTCCTAAATGTGACCCTCATGGTTCGAAAGTTCAGGTTTCTTCACTGGCTTATCCACTGCCTGGAATGACATTTTTCTAACTGGTTAATTCCTTCAAGTACAAGTATTTCTACCTAGAAACCTCCTTCTATCAAAGACAAAGGCCATTAAATCACTCCTGGTCCTCTTTACACCCTACTCTCTATTACTTTACTTAGCTAACTACTGCTTACCTTTTGTCTCCTCGATTAGACTGGGGTATATTAGGACAAATATAAAGAAAGTCTTTCTTTCATGTATCCTTAGTACCTGGCATAGTCTGGCACATTGTAGACCTTCAAGGTTTTGCTACAGGAAGAAACTAGGAGATATGCAGGAAGTATAACCTAATTCCCACTACATGGGAGGCTGAGGCAGAAGGATCACCATGAGTTCAAGGCTAGCCTGGGCTACATAGTGAGTTCAAGGCCAGCCTGGGCTTCCCAGCAAGATCCTATCTCAAAAAAACAAAAACAAAAACAAAACAAAAGACTAGGTATGTTGTAGAGATGTAAGTAACAGTAGACTACTCTAGTAGACTACTAGTTCACTCTTGACCCTAACTCAGTGCCTGACTTACAAACTGGCCACCTGCAGGTTATCCAGGAACGCTTTGGATCCAACGTAGTGGCAGTGCCTTTCTTGTCAGACGCAGCCTTCTATGACCTATTGGGCGTGCTAGTGAAACAGTCCCGGCCAGCCCACTACCGCCTGGCTTTGCCAGGTCGGCAGGGCCGAAGGGCACTGGAACCAATGGGACTGCTACCAAACCTCCTAGAACAAGCAGGATCTGAGAGTGCCTTTACCCACTGCACTCGGGAATACTCACCAAATGGCCGAGCAGAGATTACCTATGAAGAGATGCGACTGTTGGATGGGCAGCCCTGCTGGATCCGCCTACATACAGGTGGCCTTCGCAAGAAGGTTGCTTTCCTGTTGCTGCCACCAGGGCAGGTGAGCCTACAGCAGAATCTTCCCTGGCTCCGAAGCACCCACAGCATCTATGTCATCTACCAGGTCTTCTCTTGCTCCTGGCTGCGCCTGGAGCTGTTGCCTACAGCTGGTGAGCCCCAGCTGCTCCAGTTACAGCAATCATTGCCTGTTGCTTTCTCCTGCCTCAAGTTTTCACTGCAGCCCAAGGGTGTGCTGGGACCACAGAAACCTCTGACCAAAGATCCACTTCCTCGTGCAGCCAAATGGATTAGACCCAACCCTAGCATCATGCCAACTCTGGCCCCATCAGCACCTGCTGATACCCCCAAAGCTGCTGATGGGCCCCCATCCACCCCAGCCCCACCTACACCACCTCCCCAGGAAGGACTAGAAGGCAGACCCAACAGATTCTCCTACAAGGGCCGAAACCCCTTCCGGAGAGGGCCCCAGATGCTGTCAGGTATTGCTAGGGGAAATGATGAAGTGATGGGAGGGACAGAGTGGAGGGGGAAAGGGGGTATGGCGAGTATAAGCCAGGCAAGTGTGGAGCACCCAAGATTGTACATCCCTGGTGAAGGGGATGGCATAAGGGACCCAGGGGAGGGTCAATCAGAAGCACGGCCCTGGTACGGGGGTGGGGTCAGCAGAGAGAACCAGAGGGAGGGACAGGGGAATCAGAAAGACAAGGGCATGAGTCAAGCTGTGACTATCCCAACCCTGGCAGAGAACTGGCTCTTCGGTCCCCGAAGCCCCCCACCAGAAGCCCAGGGTGGGGATCCCGGGGACCCAGATCGGCACTCCATGTCCCTGCCCCTGCTGCAGGGTCTGTCCTCGGAGTTCGACAGCGACGACTGAAGTTGAAGCGACAGATCCAGCGGGCAAAGCCCCCAAGATCTGGCAAAGGGACACTGGTCCCCAATAAACATCAGCTGCTGTTCCCCAAAGCCATCCTGGGCCTACGTTGTTTCTTCCTTCTGTGGTCCAGAGGCAGGGGAAGAGTTCCCACTTTTTTCCCTTGGCTTCAAGTTCTCTCAGCCTCTAAGGGCAAAAGAGATGCTTGAAACCCTTGTATCAGTGTCTTCACCAGACAGAAGACTCCTGATGACCTTCCCATCTATGTACAACCATTTTGCGGACCCAACCCCATAGGTAAAGGGTGGGAAAAAAGAATGAGCACAAAATACAGATTTCCCTTTTATACATATTGCAATAAGTTCTCCATAAAACATTCATCTGAAATAAATTAAAAAGTTCTTTTGCCACTGCCTCCAAACATAAAAAGGAGCCTGTGCCCTGGCCTCAGCCCAGATCACTTATGGCCCTGATTGTCCATGGAAGAAAATTAAGGATTGAGGGGCCCAAGGCCTGAGATGGGAGGGCCAGATGCCTCCTCTGAAGTATCCAACAAGAAAGGTGAGGTGACGGCATGGGCCTGGGAAATGGCAGCCAACTCCTTGAGAAACTCAGGGAAAATGACTGCACAGTAGACAGCATTCTTGACTCGCAGAGCCTCACCTTGGCGCTCGGGGGCCCCACCCTTGGGGAACAGAACTGGAGTCGATGCCCCAGGAGAGCCCCCACCTAGACCAAGTCCAGCTCCGTCTCGCCCAGGCTGAAGAATCTGTGTTGCCTGCCGGGCCCTTGTTGGACTGTGTGCATGCCGCAGGAGTAATTCCCCCAAGGACGGCCTCCGGCTCTTCACTGGGAATAAACAGGGGTATCAAGAGGGTGCTCAGATCGCGGAACCTGCCTGAGTTTGGGAAAGTAGACTCCCCCATACCCTAGGTTCCTGGATTCTCTACTAGGGCTCTAAAAGAAGAACAACAAATAGATCCCAGGTTCCATTTCTTATCCCCTCTGTGAAGACCACCCCAGAGAACAAAGAGGGGAGGTGTTCTTCCTCATTCCAACATCAAAACACTGCCTGCCCAGCCTTTCCCCCTCTACCCAGCCTCCCCAGCCAGGCAACCATCATCTTAACCAGCCAACACTTTGAGCCACCTCATTCCCAGCTATGATTCCTTCCTTCTCCACCTGCCCTCACCCGGAGGGGTTCTTCTCTTTCCAGTCACTACTCTACCACCACCAAGCTACTTCTCTGTTTATAACAAGCCCTTTATCCATTATCTTCCCGTATCTTTCAGAACTAGAGTCAACCACTTACCCTTACCCTCCCTATCTGACCCAGGCCCTCTGCTCCTTCAATACAGGCACTGTATGTGTTAATCACAGTTCAGGGATTCTTTCATTTCTGTCATACTCTACCTCTAATATCTGCTTTCCTGTACCATCACTTCACTGTTCACCAGTCCCTGTCCTATACAAACCAAACCTCCCTTTCACCTGTCCTGGAAAGACAACTTCATGTTGGCTTAGACTCAAATAAGCCATTTAAAACACTGTTCTTCCTCTACTTTTCTGGCATATTCCTGGATCTGGACCCATGCCTACTATATAGCCTAGACTCAAGCTTCTAGATCATAACATTTTCCATTCCCTACCTCCAATTAGCTAGAGACACTCCACAGATCTATCAAACTTGGCATTCAAAGCCCTTTACAATCAAGTTTACACTCCTCCAAACCTCTTCTCAAACTCTCCACACCCACTATGTTTTGGCACCCACATCTATCTTCTTGGAACCTAATAGACACTTTGCATGCCTCTATGCCTCCCTCTGCCTACATGTTGCTCTCCCAACATTTCTTATCCTTTCTGACTTAATTTTACTACCTCGAACTCTGGGAAATCTCCTCCAATTTTCCCTCCACTAACTTCCATTTTACTGCCCTTTTCTCAACATATTTTAATAATTTCTTCTCATGTCTTCTATTTGATGAACTAATCTGTGAGCTGAAGATCTTAACTGTGACTTATCCAGCTTTGTACCCTTGGCACCTCCAGTGATCCCAATGGTAGAACTATAGAAGCAAGAAGCAATCACAATATTAAACCATTAGGAAATCATGCCAAGCAATTTAGCATGGTCTTCACAGTTGAGCAGTAACCGTGTGGTACTCTCTTCCTAGCCCATACACTTTTCTCCTTAGCCTCTATTTTATCTCTGTTCTCACTCTCAGCTTATCATTTTGTCACCTACTTGGATAAGCAAAGAATGACATGAAATTTTTAACATCCTCTTCCACACTTCACAACTCCATTGGTATAAGTCACTTCTGCTTCCATCTCTACTCATTTGCCTCAAAGGGCGAAAAAACAAAAACCCTTTTCAAAATTAATCTTCTTCTGGTGCTCTAAATGCCAGTACTACTACAAGACCTTGCTCCCTGTTACTACTGTCCTCTAGTCACTCTCCAGAGTTTATGCTCTTTGAAGGCAGAGATGACATCTTGTACCACCCAAAATCCCTGTACCAAAAACAATAACCAGCACACATGACAACTGCTCATATCCTTGTTAAATAAAAAAATCTAGATTTAAAATTTCATGGTCATACTGAATTCTCCCCTCTTCCTTATCCACTCACAACCACTCACCAAATTTTGCCAATACTTCCTTCCCATTTCCACCTTACCAAATGCTCCCTTCCTTTTTCACTATTCTAAATGTATGTTTCACTGGTCACATTTGCATTATGAAAAAAACCTCCAAATGTTCTGCCTGACTCCCCTTCTCCTACCTAGCTCTAATTCATTTCCACCAATTTACTCATCTCTCCCCTTGCACATTTAAGAACCTCCAATGGTTTCTCACTGCCTAAAAGATCACAACTTCTACCCAGTCCAATTTCCACTCTGAGAACCTGCTCCTCTAGCTAAATCTTTTCAGCCTTAACATCACTGTTCACCTGACATTTAAACTGCTGATCCAACTAGATAGTACCAAGATGTTTCCTGACCAAAAATACAGACTTTCCACACCTCTGCCTACCTAGGTCTAACCACAATAAATATCATATCCTTCACTAAATTCTCACAATTTATCAACCTAAAGACTACTCTATCACCTTGACAATCCTTAAATCCTGAAGCAGATTTTGCTGGTACTACTGATTGGGCTCTTACTCAATAGAACTGTGTTCTAGCCTCTGACCCAAAGTCTGAGAACAAACATTAAGACTCCACTTTTTTTACAATCTCCAGTGGCTGGTACAAGGTTTCACCTTTAATGAGAATTCAGCTAACCTGAGCTAACAGCTGTCTAGGGAGGGCAGGGAGCAGGGTGATGGAATAGGCCTCACCTAGGGGATCGGAGCGGCGGGGGGCAGATCCTGTTGTAGGACCCTCAGCCCAGTCCAACTTGCCACGGGCAATGAGGTACTTCTTGGCTTTGGATAGCAGTGCTGGGAAGTCCTCCTGGGAAGCTGCAAAGCTCTCAATCTTATTCTTCACAGAGCCCAGCACCTATGAAGCACAACTTCATGACATTTCTGGTGGTTTAGACTGATGCAGTCTTTTCTAGTCCCACTGGACCTATTCCCAGCCCACCCAGGGTCACTCCAGCTGCGGGCCTGGCCCACCACGGAGCCTGGACGCACCCATGCATGCATGCATCGCACACCTGCAGCAGGGACTTGACACTGGGCTGGAAGACCATGTTGGTGTTGAGCAGGAAAGAGCGGAGCAGGGGCTGGGGATGACAGGCCAGCTGGGCCACCAGCCCCGTCAGCAGAAAGTTGACATAGACGGAGTTCTGCAGCATGTTCTCAAGTTTGGCAAAGAGCACAGCCATGAAGGGGCCTGGGGGGGTGGGGGTGGGCACAAGGATACAAGGCCTGAACACAATGCACATCGCACGCATTCCTCCCCAAAACAAGAAACTCCCACTAGATGAAAATATTTGTGTGTTAGTCTCTGGGAATGTTGGAATGTCCTGTGACAACCTATCCAGGAGAAAATAAGATAGTAAACACCACATGAACCCACAAGAGTCTAGATGCTGGCTTTATACACATTCAAGCTGAAGAGCCAGATCTCAGGCTCCAGAAAAACAGAGACCTCTTTTCAGATTTCTGCTTTACCCTTTACTAGTTAGGTTACTGGATAAGGCTCTCCAAGCTTTAGCTTCCTACTTGGAAAAATAAGAAAATATACCTACTATAAGAGGTAATTAAGAGGATTAAAGCAATATCAATGTAAAGTATTAAGTCTAAGACCAGGCAAATTTTATGTATTCAATTATAACCATAAGCTATACAATAATTTCTCAGTTTTTAAAAAGCTTCATCCAAGAGGCACAACAGAAGAATGAATAGGCAGAGAAAGCAATTAGGACCAAAACACAGAATCAGGTTCCACATAAGACAAAGTAACACAAACTTGGTGAAAAAGAAAGCAAGAAACTGTAGCAAACACAGAGGGGTTATATTTAATGTTTATAGTTAGAGGAGAAATCTCTGGAGGTCCAGAGAAGACATCAGCTCTGTCTTTGATGAGCTGGGACTGGGACCAAGAAGGTGGAACAGAACATGTAGCAAAAGGATAATTTAGTTCAGAGGCACAGTAAACTGACTCACAGTGGCAGAGAACAGAAGGAATTAGCATTACCCACTAGGAGAAAGATGTTTCACCAGCATTAGGACTCTAGAACCAACAATCTTTCTGATCAGGAATTTTTTGAAGAAAGGGAATGTATCTCAGAACTTAACTATGCATCGAGACAGAAAAAAGATGAAGGGCAAGAGGTAGAAAATCCTACAAAAGATCAAAGAACATCTACTTCAAGTACTCATGACCAGCCTTAGTTTAAAAACAACTCTAGTGAAACAGGATCCTAAGATAACCTACAGCTTTATCATTCTATTCCTCTCATTGCCTGGGGGCCTCTTGTAAGAGACAATTCAAAAAGCTCATTTAAGTTTACAAAGAAGAAAAAAGAAAGAAGCTTTAATTAATACTTCAAGACTGGTAAAAACCTGCACACCACCTCCTAGAGGTACTGAGTAGAAAGGAACTGAGTGGAGGATAAATAAATGAAAAGATGTTTTCTGTGGTCTGCAAGGAAAGGAAGTTGACTCTAGAGTAGAAGCTGCAATGTTATACAAGCAGGATCCCAGGCCAGGAA